ATCCACGAGGTCAGGAAATAACAGCAGCGGCAGCTCCGGCTCCACGCTGGGGCTGTTGGCTTGGCACGTGGATCCCCAGCCCTCCTCTTCCTGGACAGTGCTCCTTTGAATCGGGAGAGGCAGGGGAGACACCAGACGGCGACCTGGGCCAGGCTTTCAGACCTTGAAGAGCTTGAGGAGGATGGAAGAAGCGCCACTCCTGCTCAGCATGGCGCTGGGAGGCTGGGCTTTCGTGTTTCTCTCTGTTATTTTGTGGTGTTATTTCCTGGGCTCTGCATTAGCTTCTGAGAAATACAAACTCTTGCTCATCCTCCTCGGGAAATCCTCACGTCGGGTAAAGCTTTCACAACAGGCTGTAAACCTCCGTCCGGTGTGTCCCCGGACTAGGCGTGAGGACTTTGTGTGTGTTCCCCTCGCTGTGGCAGCAGCCCCACCCTTTCTTCTCTGCCTCTGTTTTTAGGAGAGCCACAAACGTCGTCTCTCTGTTCCTTGACCCAGACTTTGTGGTGGTGGTGATGTTCTTGGGGCGTTGAGGAACCCCTGTGTCGAAACCCGCGCGTGCATCGATGAGCAGCCTTGCTCTTCCCACGTCCGGGAGCAAAGAGCTTGAGACGGGGTTGGTAGGGTCAACATAGGGGTAGGACCAGCTGCCCAGCTCTCTAGCAAAGCTTGGCCACGTGGAAATCCCCGCTTTCCTCTCAGCCTTTGGCCAGGTTCCCTCATGTAAGGTTGCATGAGCTCCCTGGGAAGAGCTTCGTGAATCCTTTGGGAACAGAAGCGAGCTCTCCCGAAGACTGATTTTAGCAGGCGTTAATTCAGGCAGCTCTCATGCCCAGAGCTCTCCATCAGTGCCCACGCGATAACTCTTTCACCCTCCTCGTTCTCTCACCTCTTGGGTGGGTGCGGAGCAGGGAGACGCGGGTCTGTGTTTCCTCGGAGGAGTTGGAGCTGGTTGCAGTTTCTTCAGACCCTCAAGACCCCTCTGGTGGAGACGGCCTTGGTGGAGACGGTCGGTCAGCATCTGCTCCTCCGTCCCCATCTTGGCTGTCTCTTCCCCTCTGAGAGGGAGGGGGAGCCCGGGGTGGGGAGCCCTCATGTCCTTAGAAGCAGCGTATGTGAGAACTTCTGACTATGGACCTATGGCACCGTTTGCACCTCCTCACCACTTCTCCGCCACCTTGAAACCACCTTCAGCTTCTCCAGCGGCAAAGAGGGACGCAGCAGCCAGAGGTCCCGCTTGGCGCCGTGTTCGTGCTCTGGTTGCTCTTTTGCACCCTGACCCTGACGGGCGCCTGGGGAGGCTGGGACTTCATCCCCCCTCCCATGGGTGCTGGCACCCAAACCGCGTTGGCCAAGGCTTTCAAATCTATCTGCTGATTACAGGTCGGCAGCTGGAGATAAAGCAAATTGGAGACGGGGCCAAGCGCCTCTGGAGACCTCTCCAACGGGTTTCGAGCGCCTCTGGAGACCTCTCCAGTGGGCTCCTTTAGGGTTTGCTTTTGTTGCGCACAGCCTGTACCTCCGCAGCCTTATCAGGAGCACTCCCTTGCCTCTTCGGGTTTGCTCGGGGAGCGCGTGAAGTTTGCATGCAGGCTGTCAGATTGCAGCCTATCATGGCGTAAACATAGTTTTGTATTCGCTTTGGTGGGTTATTTTTGCCCGTTTTAAAGTAACGTCTGTTTTTAGCGGAGACCATTAGGCTAGATACGGATGCTGCGGTTCCGTGCTGTCCTTCTAGACCAAGCGTTGTGGTTTTAGGTGACGTTCTCTCGTGTTGGAGACCCCAGTGCATCGCGCTGTGAAAGCAAAAGAAAGATGATGGCTCCTGGAGGCACAGCATGGGGTGAAACACAGAAATTAGTGTAATTTTCTCTGCCAATGTTCCCAAGCTAGTCGGTGTTCTGGGTGGGAAGAAGGTAGTAAAGCCCTTGGGGCACACGGGCCATCCCACCATCTCCCTGTGTCCAAGCCAGGCTTGCCAGGGTGGTACGTGTGCGAGCTTGAGAGGGGAGAGACCAGACACATGGTCCTGGTGCAGAACATTCTGTGGTGGCAGCTGCGCAGACGGTTTCGTGAAGCCCCGCTAACAGCACCTCGCATCCCTGGTTTTCACCTCACTAGTTTTCACCGCATGGAGCGAAGGGTGGCTCTTGGCCATCCAGAAGTGGGGTTACCTTGTCCCGTCCTTGACCCCTGCTCAAGTCAAGCAACCTAAAAGCCCGCTAAAACCTTAAGGAGTACGTCCCTTCATCTCCATCTTGCAGGGTGAGGTGTCTCTGCCTCACAGCTCCCGGGAAGTGCAGGAGCCTTTGGGAACACTTGATATCTGAGGATTGAGGCTGTGCTCTGCAGATTTCTGCCTTTCCTGGCTGAAAAGGGGGGCTGACGGTGAGGGAACCCCCTCTCCTGACATGACAACCATGTTTCTCCTTGCAGGTGGTGGTGCTCCTGGAAGTCCTGAGCTGGGGTCGGCTGGAAGATGACCGAATATAAGCTGGTAGTGGTGGGAGCTGGTGGCGTCGGGAAGAGTGCTTTGACGATACAGCTCATCCAGAACCATTTTGTCGATGAGTATGACCCCACGATAGAGGTAAGCAGCTCCAGGCATGGGGTCGGTCTGTCTTCCTCTTGATCTTCTCCAGCTTACCTCCAACCCAGAGCACACTGGGTTTGTTCTCGAGCCTGAGCTTGAGCAGAGACGTTCCTCTGCTTCGCAGTGCTTCTGTTTCTCCTCCTGGGAAACCAGAGTGAATATAGCGACTTCTGATGCAGGACGCGTCGAGATTTACTGATGAAACAAGGTTTAGCAGAGCTCGGTTTTATTAAGTACGTCCTGCAGTTCAGGTGAACCGTGCTGGTTCCCGGAGCGCCCCGTGACGAGGAGTTCAAGGATGATGTACGGGTCTCGCAGTCAGCGTGGATGGTAGCTCAGCACCCTGCCTGGAGAAACAGGCAGAGACCTCACACTCCTCCAGGCTGTGCAGAGGCAGAGGCCTGGTCTTCAATACCCATTACGCTCTTTATTTTCTTGTTTCTAACTTCTAAAAACCATATTCCGCTGCTGGTGAGATGCTAATTACCCCCTGCACAACTTACACCTTCCTAAGCAGCAGCCGCTTCTCTGCACGAGGAGTAAGTCCACCCTGGGAAAGCAAATTACGGCTCCGTCCTGCCTCTTGGACAATCACCTCCCTGTCTGTGGTCCTAAAGGATTCTCCACCAGATGTGTATCAATGCAGCTGTGGCCGCTGCAGTTGTTATTATCGTAACAGCTAAAAGGCCCCAGCTGGGAGCCAAAAATCTGTTCTGGTAGGTGTTGTATGTGTAGTCCCCACCCTGAAGAGCTTAGAGCTTAAATAAACAAGCAAGGGAAGGCTTGGTAGGGAGGCAGGAATAGCCTCACGGTCCTGCAGCCGGGAAGGAGAGAAAGCACTTAAAAGCACGTGCTGCTACGTCATTTGGCCAAGGTCACCCAGAAACCCCTTGGCGGAGACTGGAACTTCATTTAAGGGCTCCCGAGCCTCGGGGCTGCACCTTGATCGTGGGTGCAGTTGCCTTCTGCCCCAGCTCCCCCCCTCCACGCGCCCATCGCCGGCGGCACCGTGCGTGTTCCTTAGAAACCCCTCCCGGGTTGTTTTCTTGGCAAAAGAGCTGCTGATGGAGAATAACCTCGCCAGGGAGACACCTGCACCAGTGGGTCCTCTCCCAGACCAGCAGCTTGGACCTGGCAATGTGTTGGGTTTTGGTGCATCCTATTTTATTTTTTCCTTTTTTTTGTCTCCAGCTGCCTGTCCCTTTGCGTACCCTGCAGGGAATTTTCTCCGTGTAAACAGGCAGCAGGGAATGTAAACCTTGCGTGGCATTTCCCAGCACACCCTCCTCGCCAGGCCCCAGGAGATGCCGGCTCTCCTTCCCTCTCCCCGCCCAGCCCCACTCTTCTCCTCCTTTTCTCCTCCTAAAGCAGCCACGAGCTGCTCTTCAGCCCCCTGGTGCTTTTCCACCTGCAGGTCCCACCAGCCCCGATACCTTTGCGGCTCCCTCGGTCCTGCCCCGCATCCTCCCCGGCCATCTCCTCGCTCGTTCTGGGGTGACTCCTTTTACTTACGCTTCATTTTCTGGGGATTTCAGGCGCATGGAGAGTTACCTGCCAGCCGTGGGGCCAGCAAACCACCCTCCTATGACTAAGCCGCTTTGGCTCGTGCCCAGGAGCTGACTTGGACTGTTTCAGCCCACTGACAAACAGCACAGCACTGCTGAAATAAAAGCGGGGACAAAAAAAATAAAAAGAGTATGTGCACACAGAGCGAAGGCTTTACCCATCGCTTAAATGCGCTGAGCAGGGGCTGTGCTGCGACGCGGGGGTGTGAGCGGGTCGGGGTGCCCCAAGAAGATGCTCCCGAGGGGAGGAGAAGCGAGTCTGTCCCCTCGCTGGAACAGGGAGCCCTCCTGCCCTCCCCGTTTCGCTGGTGGAAGCGTCTGGCTCCGTAACATCCCACACGCCTGCCCTTGGGCTGTTGTGAGCCTTGAGACCGTTATTTGGGGACTGTGGAGGTGGGACTGGGGCTCTTCTACCTCGCACCGAGGAGGCTCCTGATCCGTTATTGATCAGAACCGGGAGCTCGTCCCCACGGAGCAGCCTGCCAGCTGCCTTCGGAGCAGGGTGGCTGGAAGCCAGCCCAGCGCTCTGGGCTTATTCCCAGCGCGTCACCAGTCCCCTCTTTGGGGCTGAGAAGGTCATGGTGGTGGAGCAGACCTCATCTCCTCCCATTCTGCAGCCTTCTCCGCAAGGTGAGGCAAGACCTCCTTAGTGAACCGAGGGTGGAGGCTGCGTTGGCCCCGTTCCCTTTCCGTGCCGGTGCCGGCGCTGACCTTTGCTGCGTCGGCTGTTTGTCTGCAGACCTGCAGAGCTCCTCTGATAACGTCGTTGTGGCCGTTGGGAGAGCAGCAGCGGACGGTCGAATTCGTTTCACGCTGCGGCCGTAGCCTCCGCGGAGCACCGTTGTGGTCGTGCTGCTGACTTGCACCTTCGGTTTTGGGCTTCCTCCTTGAGCCAAGGGTGCTGGGCCGTACCCGTGGTGATTTCCAGGCCTTCTCACACCTGCCCTGAGTTGAGATTGCCTCTCCTGCAGGGAAAAAAAAGAAAAAAACAACTTCAAAGCACCTGCCTTGGAGCCCTCTGGGCGCAGGCTGGTGTGGGAAACACCCTCTTCGCAGCGCGATATTTTTATTTTATTTTTTCTCACGTTTGAAGAAGGGGTTTGCCATCAAGCCTGGTTTGCCCCCTTACTGGTGGTGTATCACCTCCCGTGCTTGATCTAAGATTCATCGGAGGTGCTGGAGGGGATCTTAAACACGTTCGAGCCCTTGCAGGTGGTGGCTGGAAGCCCTGGCCGGCCAGAACCACCTTTCCCTGGTGGCCCCTTCCAGCAGAAGGGATTAGCCAGGACTAAATAAAGCCTAAGGGCAGTAGTTGTGGAGGGCTGTGCCCTGTGGTAGGGACGAAGCTGCCCCTGGTGTGGCAGAGGCAGGGCTGGGAATGGGGAGAGCAAGCTGAAGGCTTCACTAGAGAAGGAGAAACGTGCTCAGCTACTCCTTTTTTTCCTTTTCTTCTCCTTTTTTTCCTTTCCCTCCTGTTTTTTGAGGCAGATTGGGTTGGCTGTTTAATGGGAGCTAACCTCAGGCATCCTCCCAGGGACACGCTCGCTGCATCCCTTCGCTTGGCTGGACCTGAGCCCTCCCGTAATGCATCTTCCTCCCTTTCTCTCCCTCTCCTGGCCTGCAGGATTCCTACAGAAAGCAAGTCGTCATCGACGGAGAGACCTGCTTGTTAGACATCTTGGACACCGCCGGGCAAGAGGAGTACAGTGCCATGAGAGACCAGTACATGCGAACGGGGGAGGGATTCCTCTGCGTCTTTGCCATCAACAACACCAAGTCCTTTGAAGACATTCACCAGTACAGGTGGGTAGAGAATCATAGAATTGTTTAGGCTGGAAAAGACCTTTAAGAACACTGAATGTGACTGTTAACCCAGCGCTGCCAGTTCCACCCTGAGCACCACATCTCCACGGCTTTGAGATCCCTCCAGGGCTGGGGACGCTACCACTGCCCCAGCAGCCTGGGCCAGGGTTCAACAACCCTTCTGGTGAAGAAATTCTACCTAATATCCAGTCTAGACCTCCTCTGGGGCAACTTAAGACCATTTTGTCTTGTCCTGTCCCTT